CTGGTCACAGAGTAAACCCCCCCCAAAGCAAACCCACTGCCATCAGGCTGAGTCTGACCCATAGAGGCTATATAGCAGTGGTTCTCAACCTTCCTCATGCCATGAGGCTTTCATACAGTTCCTCATGTTGTGGTGACCCCAACCATAACATGATTTTTGTTGCTACTTCATCACTGTAATTTTGCTACTGTTATGAATCGCCATGTAAATGTCTGATATGCAGATTGTATTTTCATTGTTACAGATTGCACATCATGAAAACATAGTGATTAATCCTAAAATCAATATGTAATTATAGATTGTGAAATATTTATTTCTAATGACAAATACGTGAAACTTTGTCTTGAAGCATGGTGTAGCATGGGCAACAGTCTTAATATACAACAGTAAATTGCATTGCTACATTTTGCGTCAGTATGTGTAAAAAGCAACGTCAGTGCGAAGGTCGAGATAGCTTCTTTCTCACCAGATCAGCACGTCTGCATGTGGGCGGACCTGCTGGGCATAGAGGAGCGGGGTCTCAGTTCCTAAGACCATCAGAAATGTGTGTTTTCCAATGTTTTTTGGCAACCCCTGTGAAAGGGTCGTTGGATCCCCAAAGGGGTGCGAACGCACAGGTTGAGAACTGCTGCTCTATGGTTGTAAGCCTTTGCAGGAGCAGGCAGCCTCAGCTCTTCCCCGTGGAGCCGGTGGCAGGACTGAACCCCTGATCTTTAAAAAAATCATTTTATTGGGAGCTCTTCCAGATAACATAATATTCCATAGCTCAGTCACATCAATCAGTACTGTACAATTGCTACCACAATCCGTTTCAAAACATTTTTTTTCTTCTTGAACTCCTTGATAACAGCTCCCCTTTATCCCCTCTCTTCCCTCTAAGAATATATATATATATACACACACACACACACACACACATACATACATACATATAATCCTAAAATATTTTTTGTGTGTACCATATCTTACACAATCCAATATATCCATCCGCATACAATTCTGTTGTTTGATTCCATCGAGTGGGGTTATCCAGTCATCAATGCTATCAGCTCGCTAGTCCCCCTTCCCCTCACTTCTCTTCCCGTACCCTCAGGGAACCATTACTTCTGTTTCTGTTTCTGAAGGGCTATCTATCTTGGCTTCTATGTGCAGAATGATCTTAAATATACACATTACATATGCAAATATAACATGATTCATCAGGTAAAACAAAAGCCATAATAGTAAGGGCAGGACATATTAAAGAACTAGAGGATAGTTCTGTGGTTCATCAGTGCTGTACCACACCCTGGATTTATCATCTCTTCCATGTGGCCCTTCTGAGAGGAACTGTCCAATGTTCTAACAGGTGGGTTTGGGGTCTGCACTACCCCCAAGCCCCTTCACATAGATTTGGTTGCTTGTTTTTGAACTTCTGACACCTCTTTCCTGAACCCCTAATCTTGAGGGTATCAGTCCAATGCTTAGGCCCCATGGTCAGAGCTCAATAAATAATAACTGCCCCAATTAATAAAT